GTAGAGTGGGAAAAACTAAGGGGGGGAGGGCGGCGGGAGAGGTGAGGTGTGTAGGGTCACACAGAAGACTGGAGACCCTCACATGATTTAGCACGCCGATAAAGGCGGTTGCTGGGGTGTGACCACTAGGCGGAGCCTAGCTTTACGGCACAAAATTTGAGTTGGGCGCCAGTTAATGGCCGACACAGGAGTATTCACCACCTACGCAAGAGGGATGGAACGACCCAATGCTACCAGCACGGTGCCCGCTTATTTTTAATCCTATACCCGATAGTTATCCCCTACAGCAATGCGTACTCTCAGGTAATACGTCAAGGTATTCAGTTGTAGGTTCTTGCAAATCAGCGACCGAAAGAGCATTGCGTCGTTCTTGCAATGAAGTACCATTTTATAACATCGTAATGATAGGGGAAAAATTCAATTTCTCCATCGGCACAGCTGCATTTCCCCGAATCATTGTTCATATGGAATGGAGCTCTAATATACGTGGCCAGCGTATATGGAAGTTTTTCACCTTATGCCGCCTAATAAGCACGTGTTCATCTCCGGCTGTCCTGGGCAAATCTTAACACTGATGCAGATGCGGGAATCGACAACCAGGCAAACACAGCGCCAGTCCACTTCACCATAAACCGATTTACGCCTCAAACACAAAAGCGCTTTGGTAGATGGATACTTACCGATTGGTTACGGGACTCACTTGTCCAGTTCTGCTTTAGGGCTCACCTACAAGCCCCAACAGCAGCCTTTATTATAGGAAGAAGAGCATTACTGAAAATGATGGGTTTGGCGGTGCACCACACGAGATTGACTGGCTGATGACGGCTATTAAACCAGAACTAGCCATTCCAGCCTTCCTTGTCTCTGTCGGTAATGACCATTACGCTCGTCAGAATGTGCTTGACCCTTAGAAAAAGGAGAGGCGACCACTGGAACAAGAGTTTTATAGTCCCGACGTTTCGGATTCCGTCAGGAATCCCTAATCATAGGTAATGGTACAATAGTCTGAGTCATGCGCAGAGAGGGGTGCAACATGCACAGATTGCACGGTATTTATAGTTCATAGCAGTCATCCGCATTCATACTGTAATTATCCACTCCTGTAGCCACCGCTTGGGTGTTAATTGATGCGGTGATGGCTTGACACTTCGAGTTCTACTCATTAATTCCGATTTCCTATTCTGTTTCGGTAATTGTGGCTGCCAACCAATCAGTTTCTAGCGTCATCTTCCTTTAGTAATTATATAGCAGAAGTTAGATCAATAATTTGATAAATGCGACTTTATATATGCAAACTTTAGGAGGAATTTCGCCCTCTTTAGATTAGCCATGGCGACTTTCAGTGTGATAAATCGATAACAGTTGCACCGGGCATTGAAGCAAGTCTGCCGGTGACCTTCGAACCAATTACAATAGGAGAAACAACCGCCACACTGACCATTGTCAACGCTCAGGCGGGTGAATACGTGTTTCCCCTTCGTGGAACTGCGAAGCTACCTGTGCCTCAAGGACCCATCGTTGTGCGCAACAAGGAAACGGCACACATTGTTTTCAAAAATGTTTTCCCAGTAAATACTGAATTCTTTATTCATGTAAGTTACCAATAAAAGGCTTATTTTTTGCCCCTATTTTTGTTTTAATAATCTGGTTGAGGTACCATAATTAAATGTGAAAATGGGTTGATAGTTATTGTGTAAACTTTACAAATGTAACCGCGAGACTTAGCCTGCCTAGCTAGGTGAGACAAAAGTAATATGCAACCTACATGACTGGATTGGGAGACGTAAGCAAGAGAGTTACATAGTAATAAAGTCAGTAATGCAAAGTGAAAATGATAAAGACAAAAAACTGGCATTATTCTTGCATTTGACTCATTTGTGAAAACAGCCAATCGCGGTGGGACCTGAATCCACGACGGCAAGTGTAAAGCTTAGTAAAGTTAAAACCCTAACTGCTTGAGCTACGAGGTTCGGTCAGGAGCCGCGACTTTAACCACACTGGTGTCTTTCAGGATCCTTCAGGGATTTGTATAGCGACAAACAATAAATAATATTAGAGAAATACCGAAAATGACAAAGATTTGAGTCATTTCTTATTAACTTGTCTTCACCAACTCTATACTTTAAACGGCAGAACGCTTGACCTAAATGTATGATGGCTGGCTGATTTCAGGCACAGATCTCAAGTCACTTCTGTTTGAATTTGGTATTTTTAGATTTAAGGTTATATTTTCCGGTACATATTGCTATTAGTAAGGCGCTCGTAGATCATTAAATTTCATTTTGACGGCGGAAAATCAGTTTTTTTGACATATATGCCCGGATCCACACAACCGGATGCCAAATGAGATGCATTGGACTGACACAACCGACGGCCCCCACTATCTTGTTCAGACTGCTCGAGTCGGAACTGTTTGGCCATAAAGATAGAGCTTCGAAGCGAATTTCATAAGACGGAATGGTATTTGCTGATCGTAATCTATAAATTACCCAATTACTCAATTCACAAATCCTTTTGGAGAAGTAGTCGGCTTAAAATGAAGGACCCATTTAACCAGGTTCCCTCTGATTGATCGTTCTTCTGTTACTCAACAGGTTGAGAATCCGGCCTTTCACGTGGCACAGACGAGCAGGGTTGTCCGTCCGCAGAGGGAATTTCACATTCCCATTCTCCTAGAAGGTAACTTAACTCCTGCAGTTTCTGGAACCAATGAAGAGCAGACTGAGGGAACCGTGGTATGCAGCAAATTGGTGGTAACTTGTGCCCGATCGTTTGCTGTTTCTACATCCGGCCGAAAGGAAAAGCGGACAAGTAAATCTGCAGCAAAAGAGGAGACGCACCGGGAGTTCCAAATTCCATCGCATTTGCAATGGGTTTATTATCTCAAAGGAATATTCAACTGACTTTGTTATATCGGTTGTGAATAGAACTCAAGAAAATCTTTGTTCTACTTACAAATGCCACTCACAGAACGTAGGGCACGCTAGTATCCATACTCTCATAGGGCTCTGGTCAAGAATGTGCTTCGGTTTGTTTGTATTAAGTCGTCATCAACGGTTCTCCATGTTCCAAATAGTTGAAACTAAGATTTTAAAAACAGTTGTGGTGCAAACAAAACCCTGTTAATGCTGACTGCTGCAGCAGCTAGATTATTTAGTTATGAACATCCTCACGATAACTGGCCTCGCTTGCAAACGAGGTTTTCCCTTTCTGTTCCCTGAGACCAATCACTCTGATCAAAGGCTGCCCGTCTTCGTTTAGAAATTTACAAGGTGCTGGAGAGTTTAGGAACCTAGTAGTTAGGAGGAGAACACCCAGACATAAAATTGTCTTTTCTCCGAAAGTATAGAGTTCAGTCTCCACATAATCCACATGGCAAAATCTCGAAAGGCATCCATTATTTCAGAATGGGTCGCAAAGAGCGATGTTCTAGCTGTCGGTTATTACACTTTGTCGAGAAATCCCACTTCCGGGAATAGAGGAGGCTAGAGCTGCCATTGCCGACTCAATTATCTTAATCAGGCAGTAATGCAACAATTTTACGTACCGACGGATTTCATGATCAAATGCGGGCCTAGCTGGCAATTGACTGTTTAAGTCGAGCAAATATACTACCTCAGCTGTAATCTTGGCCGGCTGAAATCGGGAACATGTGATGTGGGCGTCACTTCGTTGCCGCAGTGAATACAAAAGATTTCTCTATGGCTTAGAGAGTCAGCTCTAGAGCCCTGATAGGCTACCGCATAGCGACTTTCAGTCAGTAGCTGAGAAGTGTTACCGATAAGGACAAGTGAAAATTAAATGACTGTTTCTCGCTTATTCACTGTCCCCCGCCTGTGATGGCCCAACCTCAGATGCTGAGCATCCCAGCCCGCGAATCCGGTTCAGTATCTTCCTTATTGATTGCTCATCTGTGTGCAACCACAGATGCGGGTTCTATACTCCAAGCCTCAGAGCATGGCAGAACCGCACACTATTTCGCTCTGCAATTTGACTGGACCGATGAGCATCGACTTTATTATATAGGATTCACGGGTGTGGAAAACGAGAATTACTTTCTACTTATTATATTTTCTATCTATTAACTTAAACATGACCAGAAACTCATAATTTTAGTCATTATACCTAATCCCAATGCATAACACTATGCTGACCCACACACCTAGCTCTATCAACTAACCCTGATGGCCGATGTGGGCAGCTAACCCCAGATACAAACTCCCTAGTTTAGGTCGAACATTAAATCCCGATTTACCGAACCGTAGACCTAGACCTCATATCTTAAATCCCAGCACATAGTCCCAACCCCCTAAACCAAACTCCGTATCACTATCTGCATAAGGATCTAATTCTTATTCCTCCAGCCAAAACACCAAAACGCCCTGTTCATAACTGTCCAGGCCAACATAACCTCTCCTTTTAAAATCAGTTCTTTAAACATACCCCAATATAAAAATCAAGTGGGGTTGCCGGGCAATTATTTGCCTTGAAATTTTCCGTGCTTCCAATAATAGTCTTGGTCAAGTTCAAAAGTTGCTCGATTTACCCGACACTATAAAAACCGAGGAGCATAAAACCATGCGAAGTTTGCATTTCCTGTTGATGGTTTACAACTTCAAGTAAATGAAGTGTCATTTCGAGAGAAATAAGCATTGTTGATATTGTCCTTTACTCGAGTTTAATAGAGGAGTCAAAACACTGAAGGCCGCTGGGAGCATTTTTTAATAGAGGAGATTATATTGCTGAAAGAATGGGAACAGGAATCGCCCGTAAAACAAGTGTGTTTAAGACAAATTGTAGGACGAACCGAGTATGATGTGTGGTAGTGATAAGGGTTACGAAGGATTAGGGTTGACGTCAAGTTGAATTAGGTTTGCGCTTAGAGCTACGTATGGGTTGGTGTTGAATAAAGAGTGAGGGCTCAGGGTAGAGGCAGCTTTAAGATCAGAACCACGGTTTAGGTTTATCTAAGGGCTTGTGTTTCAGTTAGCACGCAGGAATATTTACTTTTATTGAAGTTATGCGCAGGGTCACCTTTAGTACTTGGGCGTGACATTCCCATTTTCTTTTGCCCACATAGGCGGTCAAGTAATTAATCCTTACCGAAAAACGAGCTCTGAACTGGTTTGACCCTTTGAACGAAGTCGACTGGGGGGTACGGCGGACGCTTCGCGAACTTCAGACTTCGATGATGATGGTCTCAGTACCCTTATGCATGCAGATCCTGCTAACCACTTCGGGAATAGATGGAATGCGTCAAATGAACAGTGGCTCGACCTCTGCAGTCAGAGTGAAAGGTCCAAAAGATTGGTTCTTGGGTTACGTATGCTTAGAGCCTGGGTCGGCAACCTATGGCTCGCGAGCCACATATGGCTCTTCTGATGACTGCGTATGGCTCTCTCAGAAACTTCAGTCTTTATGATTTTGGTTACTCTTTAGGGGTCTAAGTAGTGGTTTGTACTCGGATCACTACAATCATCAGGCCAAATCCCAGGTTGGAAGTTAAAAGACAGGAGTCACTAAAAGGAGTGATGCATTATGTACAGAACTCCTAATTACTGCTCCAGGTGGCAGGTGGCAAAGCCAGGGCTAGCGTTGATTGCGTCCAGCCAGACCTGAGAGAGCTTGAGACAGTGGTGACAGCTG